GCCTCAGCGCACTCTGCTGTGGTGGGCGGCAGGCCCCGCCCCTCAACTCCCAGGTGCTCTGCCCTGCTCGGCCCGGCCCACCTCCCTGTTTGGACACCATGCCTCCCGCCTTGCAGCCATGGAGCCATCTTCACTCCCTGAACAGCCCGTGTGCCCAGCAGCACCCAGGGGAGGCAGGCTGAGCAGAGACAGGCGGTTGGTTCAGTGCAGCTCGGCGCTGTGCACTGCAAGCCCAGCTCTGGCTCCATGGGAAAAGGGAGGGCACAGGAAGGAGCACAGGTATCCGAGTGCGGACGAGAGCCAGTTTCACCACAAGAGAAGCAGCAGCCTCTGCAGAAGAGCGGGGCCCACGGAGCGCCGCCCCCCCCGTGGCAGCCCAGCCCAGGCCCACACCAGGCCGTACCTTTTTGCTGCATCCCCGACAGGGCGCCTTGTAGGATGAGAGCTGCTTTTCCACGTGGGCGGCCTTGTCCACTTTCTTGGGGTCGAAGGGCAGCCGGCAGAGCGGGCAGAGTGGGGAGGGCACCTGCAGGCAGGGCTGGAGGCACTCCCCGCAGAACCTGCGGGGACACGGGCCTGAGGCGCTGCTAGCAGGGGCCTGCCAGGGCCTCCGGAACGAGCCGGAATCAACCAGCGTGGGCAGGGGCGGCCCAGCTGCCGCTGGGATTTGCGGAGCTGGGAAACACCAGCTGGCTGCAGGGTGCTTCATCCCTGCATCCCACATCCTAGGAGGTCAGACTGTGCCCTGCAGGCTCTGGTCACATGTGGATGATGCAGCCGCGGGGCTGAGGAGGAAGGCACTAGTAACCACGGGAAGGTGCAAGGCCTGGCCCTAGCTGGCCGGCTCCCCAGGCTGGAGGGACTCTTGCACCTTGAGCCATGCTTTGGTGGAAGGGCTGCCCTGGGGCAGGTGCAGGCACTAAGCACTCACTTGGGACTCTGAAACTCCCACAAGCACTGTCACCCAGAAAGACCAAGTTAAGCACCCATGTGCTCTGAGCAGGCCCCAGACTCCAGCTGGTGTTTGTGCCCCGTCTCTCCCGGCAGCCCCCACAAGAGGGGGGTGAAGAGAAGGACAGGAGCAAGCCCACAGGCCCCTCCATGCAACCTCACAGGAAGTGCCGGGGGCTGGTCCCGCATGGATGCAGAGGGAGCACCAGGATGGAGACGAAGCAGGCGGGCCGACCCGGCCCAGCAGGATGGCGACCTCGCCAACTGCGACAAGGCTCCGGAGCACAGTGCATTGCTGGGCCTCTCCCTGACGTGCCCGGCAGGCTGGCATGGGGTGGGGATGAAGAGCCACACTGGACAGAGGCTAAGAGTTTACAGATGACTCAGCTAAAGACAAGGGCCACTACACGCTCTCCCTCCCTCCCCAAGCAAAGATCCTTTGTACAAAGAGGAAGCAGGGCCCCAGCCTCCGGCAGAGCCCCAGAGCCCCAGCTCCCTTTTCCTTCTACCCTCTGGTTTCTGGATAGTCCTGTTACACTGCGCCGAGGCCCACCTGCCGTGAGAGGACCCTAACAGGCTTTGCCTGACCACGAAGTGGCTCCCTGCCCTTCACCTTGCCCACGGGGGAGGTCTCTTCAGGCACCCACACACCCCTCAGCACCCCAGCAAGTATGTCCAGGACAACCTGGTCCCAGAGTTCAGCCAGGGAGGCCTCTTGCTTCACCTCTTCACTAGAGGAAGAGGCTGGTGAGATGATGCTGACAAAGAACATCAAAGTGTTCCTGGGATAAGAGGTAGCCACGGCCTGGGTGTCCATCAGCAGATGGGCAGGTGCACAAATGTGCTGTATGAATTTGGTCATAAAAAAGAGCAAAGCATTGATATCAAATAGACAAGCCTCATAAACATGCTAAGTAAAAAAAAAAATAAAAAAGGGCCACATTTTGTGTAACACCATTTATATGAAATGCCCAGCACACCCAAATACACACACCGGCCTGGGAACGGGCTGCCAACAGGTAGGGGAGGGGCATGGGTACTGAGTTTCCTTCTCTCTTGTGCCAATGGCTGCGTAACTGAACAAACTAGCCATCACTGGATCCTACACCTGAAGTGAATAAATCGTGATGCACTACACTTTTTCTCAGTGAAGTTATTAAAATTGCACAAGGCAAGGCCACATGAGCAAGACCAGGGTGAGTCACGGACACTTCACTGGGCAGAGGAACTGGGAAGCGCTGGTCTCTGAAGAAAACGGTGGTGAAGGTAAGAAGGGCAGCTGTACTTCCCTCTGGAGTGCAGGGAAGGCTGGAGAGGAAAGGTGGCTCAGGGTGACCGTCCCCAAGTCAAGGCCCCTAAGGAACAGGAGACAGGGCTCTAGGGCCTGCTTCTCCCACAGGAGTTTCTGCCTGAAACTGCACAGGGCCCGGTGCTGAGCCACTTTCCAACCGAAGAAACGAGGGCAGTGGGGTAGGCCCAGCTCTTCTCCAGGCCCTGGGGACTGCCAAGGGCGGACTGCAGGCCACAGGACCTGCTCTGGGCTTCTGGACAGGTGATGTTTTGGACGTCAGTGGGACCAGCAGAGGCTGCCTCCGAAGGCTTTGTGGGCTGACTCACAATTGTGTGCACCCTGGCCCACCTGCCTTTGGACCTAGACGTGGCTCACCCCAGCTGTTTCTTGATTGTGATGGGTCACACCTCTGGGGACCCAAGAGAGTTACTTGACTCCTCCACAAGGCTCTACCAGTTGGCTTCCTGTCCATGCCTGCAACTCAAAAGCCCTCCCTAGACTCTCCTCTGTCTGGGTTCTAGAGCAGTAACACCCACCCCATGCGGGCTTCCTCTTACCACCAGAACAGCAGCTCACAGGGAGGAAACTGCTTGTGGTCAGTGGTTCTTGGAGGGGAAAGAATCAGCAAACTTTTAAGAGGTGTCAGGAGAGGCCTTAAACTGTGCTCATTTGCCCACATTCTATAACTGTATCTGGCAGAAGTAGCAACGAGAAGACATCGGTGGAAAAGCTTTTCAGTCCATAAACTCCTGCCTTTTTCCATGCACATCACATTTTAAGAAAAGACTTCTTTTGGGGGGAGGTGGGAGGGCAGATACTGATTTTTGCAGACAATGAAGCGCAAAGTAGGATGGCTCTAATCAGGGTGAAGAAGTCAGAACCAGTGTGATGCTCCAGGCCTGGAAAGGTTTTTCAAAGACCCCAGCAAAACCTCGGGAATAGACTAGGAGGTGCAGAAGACACCTTAAGACACTTGTGAGTGTGTGCTAACAAGCAGTAAGTCCTGGGCGGTGCCACTGGCTCACGCCTGTCGCCCTGCTACTCAGGAGGCTGAGATCTGATGTTCAAGGCTGGAAGCCAGTCTGAGCAGGAAAAGTCTGCGAGACTCTCATCTCCACTTAACCCCCAAGAAGCTGGAAGTGGAGCTGTAGCTCGAGGGGGGAGTGCCAGCCTCGAGCAGAAGCAGCTCGGGGACAGCCCCGAGTCCAAGCTCCGTGACTGGCACTACGGTCCCGACCAGAGGCTGTTCTTCCAACGCCGCTGCAGAGCGGGGGAGCAGCGGTGCCCGGGCTGCCGGCTGGGCTCTCCCTGCGGACTGGGCGCCACCTGGCCGAGGGGGGCGGCACTGGACGCGGACGAGGCCCCACCGCCTCCCGCCTACCCGGCCTGGCAGTTCCGGCACCCGCAGCCCGGGAAGGCGCTGCTTCTGTGCGCACAC